CCGTCACTGAGACGGTCTCACACCGGCACACCCACAGCATCCGTCACTGAGACGGTCTCACACTGGCACACCCACAGCATCCGTCACTGAGAAGTCTCACACTAGCACACCCACAGCACCGTCACTGAGACGGTCTCACACCGGCACACCCACAGCATCCGTCACTGAGACAGTCTCACACCGGCACACCCACAGCATCCGTCACTGAGACAGTCTCACACTAGCACACCCACAGCATCCGTCACTGAGACAGTCTCACACTAGCACACCCACAGCATCTGTCACTGAGACAGTCTCACACTAGCACACCCCACAGCATCTGTCACTTGTCTCACACTGAAACAGTGAGAGTGTAAACACAAAGCAACACACCAGGAATGTGACACTGTAAATACACAGAGACACACTGCCACAGTCCCAGTGTAAATGCACAGAGACTCACTGTAACCAGCAGCCATATTATCCTGCAACTCACAACTGACAACCCACTGACGCCAAGCAGGTTGCTGCTGGAAATGGTGTTAGTGGGGCCAGTAGGGGGCACTTACCCTGCAGTCTAAGTGGGTCCTAATTCCCCAGTATAGTGACGGGGACACTATACTGTAAAATGGCACCATCCTTCGGATGAGATGTAAACCAAGGTCCTGACTCTGTGGTCATTAAAAATCCTAGGGCGTTTCTCGAAAAAGAGTAGGGGTGATACCCTGGCGTCTTGGCTTAATTTCCCATTGGCTTTTACCACTCATGGCCTCCTAATAATCCCCATCTATGAACTGGCTTCATCACTCCATTCTCCTCCCCACCGATAGCTGGTGTGTGGTGAGCGTACTGGCACACACTGGCTGCCATCACATCATCCAGGTGGGTGCTGGACATTGGTGGTGGTGGTGGTGGAGGAGAGTCCCCATTACCTTTAAAGCGCTTTAAGGTGGAGTGTCCAGAAAAGCGTGATATATATGTAAGGAAGTATATTATTATTAACAGTGGGAATATAAATACGCAGACACACTGAAACAGTGACAGCGTAAAGCATAGAGACACACTGATACACAGACAAACTCAGACTCACCAGAAGTATATCTGGTATTTTTTACTCAGCACTCTCTTGTCCTTGCGAGCCAGGTCAGACACACAGAGGTACTTCTGCAAAAAAAATGAGAATGAGAGTGAAAGGGGCATTTGAGAGGGGGGGTGAGTGAGAATGGGTATGTGTGAGAGCAGGTGGCTGGGTGAAAGAGGGAGTGATAGGCAGTCTGAACAAGACTGGAGTTATGATATTACAGAAGTCTGAAGTCAAGGAAATGCATACCACTGGATCCCACTGGATATCACTGTTCTAGGTCTGGCAATCCAGAGATACGAAGGCAATCTTTAATGTGTTTGAAAATCCAGGTGAAAGTATTATCCAGCCCACAGCTCTTGGTAAGTTTAACAAGCCAAGAATATTATAACACCCCACAGAAATTTGTATTTAGATTACTCCCACACATGCTATTCCATCTGAATTAATATTCATAAAAGATCAGAGATATTGGCCCCACTTTAAAAACAGTGAGCAACACTCATTCTACTTCCACGCCCTGCTGAGTCCCTTCAGTAATCCGACTTCAGCCACACAAATACCATCTAGTTTCAGGACAGCAGTGCTAAAACGCCACAGATCTTGCAAAGCAATCATGAACTTAACCACTGAGACCAGTAGCACCAGAACAAACCCTGGAAACACTATAATTTGACAGCATATCTGAAATGGGTGAGACAGTAAGCAGAGACCAACCCTGCTATATAAAATCTACCTTCACAGTTGAGGGAGCCCGGTAACCCATAACCCACTCTAGAAATGCAGAAGAAACCCTACAACCCACTCACAGTACATTCTGTGGGGATGGCAGAGAGGACGTCCAGTTAAACAAACAGAGACAGCCCCAGAGACAAAGAGTGGGACAGTCCCAAAGACACAGACACAGTCCAAGAGAGAAACAGTGACATAGTCCCAGAGACACAGACGTAGAAAGGCACAGCCACAGACAGAAACTTGACACTGTCCCAGAAACACAGACAGGTACAGACCCAGAGAGACAGATAGACATACCTTGGTGCGGACAATATTCTTGTCAGAATCAATGTCAGCCAGCGTGTCATAATCATCCTCCTCCACAGAGCTGAGAGACTCCTGTCTGCCCCGGTTTACATGGTCCAGAGGACGCTCTGAGGGAGAGAGGGAAGGAGCAGGGATGAGGAACAGAGGAGAGAGAATGTGTTAGAGAGAGCAGCGTCAGCCTCATTTAAACCAATCAATCCAGATCCTAAAGGAGCTGATTTCACAATCTGGAATTGTGGAAGGATTAGTCACAGATTCTCAGATTGTAGATTGAAGGGAATGCTAATTTCTCATTTAATAAGATGTTAAGTTTTGCTTGGTTTGAAGAGTGATTGCAAATGGAGAGATTTTTTTCAGATGGATCAGGTCTGCATTTAAGCATGTGAAACAGGTGGGTTAATTTCTGATATCAAGATCACTGAAAAAATCATTCAGGGCAGTTGGGTTGTCACAAATCATCTCAATCTGAAACATGATTGAAGCTATTACTAAGATATTACTGTTGTATTAGAAACATTAATTTTGATGATATATGATACTATATAATAATGAACAGAATATACTATTTGGAATACTTAGAACTATTGCCATTATCACAATAATGATAGTATCATCACCAGTATAGATACTGCTACTAAATCATAGATATCGGTGATAAACATAAATAGATATGCATGGTTTGATTACAACGAGAGCTTTGGTTACAGCAGACAGTATTAGGGTCAGATTGGTAGATCAGGATGACTGAGGTGTGGATTAGAGCATGCCAATTTATTCTGAGGGGGGGTTAATCACCAATGTGAATGGTGAAGTGCTGTACTGTGACTGATCGCCGTTTGAAGTGATCCTGTCCTGAACACAATGAGACAGACTATCAGAAATGCACCAATCAGACACAAGAATGCCAAATATGAAACCAAGGGGAATATCTGTCACTGACGGCAGGTTATATAAATGTAAAGTACTTAGTGGGTACATCTGCATATCAATGTAGGAACTAGAGCACATCTTATAAATGTAACAAATATGACATTTCCTTTCACAAAGTCATCAAATTTCCTCTAATTTTTTTCCTGTTTTCAGTCTGTGAGGTTTCTGTTGAATAGTGTTAACTATCCACAATGGTTAGCATTAGAAAGGGGAAGTGTTACAGATTTTAAGGTGTGTGCAGGTGAGTGTGTTGTGCCTGGGGCTGCACCTCATGTGAGCTCGCTGTTGTGCCTGTTGTGCTGCTGTGCGCCTCGTGTGAGCTCGCTGTTGTGCCTGGGGCTGTGCACGCGTGTTGTGCTCCATCAAATGCATGTGTAAAGGTGTGTGCTGTGTGGACTGGACTTACCCATGTAATGGGCATCACCTGAAGCCATGCTGTCAGTGACAGCCTCAGAGCTCACAGTGCTGCCATTGTCTGGGAAAAAAGGATCAATAATAAATATCAGTGACCAAAGCCATTGTGAAATAGAGTACTTGCATCTCACCTGTCCACACTTGTATTTATTGTCCTCAGGTTTAACCAGCAAGGCAGTTTCTACCACTCATGCTCTGTCTGAAGACAACACTCACCAAAGGAGCCGTAGTCATAGGGCTGGCAGAGGGAGGCAGGGGTAAGGCCCTTCCCTGTGATACAGACACACAGTGAGACAACAAACAGAAAACTCCACTACAAGCAGCATCACCTTCAGACACTTCCACTCTGGCCTGTATGGCCCACTTCAGAGCTACAGCCAGTGCCTGTCGGGTCACTGACAGAGGTGATGCTGCTCGCAATGTTGTCCTTGCATCGTTACCTTCATAAGTCAGTTAAACTCTGGGCTTGAAGCGCCAACATTCGGCAAAAGCAGCACAACATCAGCACAGACTTAAATGTAAATTTTAGATATAAAGGATGGAGCTTCATATTCTGTTAGTGGGCATCTGATCAGGTGTGAGGCTGTGACACATCAGTTCATAACAATACAAGTATATAATTCTGTCAAGCAGGGATTTACACGTTTGACAAGAGTGATAACAGACAGTCAGGCAGATAGCTATTACTCTAGAAGCTGCTGCAAGCGAGGCGGGTTAGTTTAATTCCAGCACGCACACATTTTGACACTGTTAGCAAGGCTCTTGTGGCCTGACAACTTTCATCACAGCTCTAGCACATCAGCACACAGAGTTGCAGCTGTCAGCTGCAGGCGTGCGGGTTTACTGCGCTGCCCCCAACAGATCTTACCGAGGAGAGAGGCTGAGCCACAAGGCAGCATGGAGAGAAAGAGACAGAGAAAGGGATGAGAGTTCATTCTGCACACAAAGACACACACACTTGCATTCATAAACTACAGTCACACCTGAGCTGAGCACACCTGCTCTGCCTGGAATCACACAGCTGAGCTGTCAGGAAGGGCAGTCACCTCCCAACATACAGCCTTGGCCGAGTCTCTAGACGTGAATTTGTTGGGGTGTACGAAACGGATTAGTCACAGACAGTCCACGCGGCCACACGATGATGGACTGGGCCACAACAGTGTCGAGAATCACGTACAGTTCCATAGTTATCAGTTGCTCTTTCAGAAAACAATTATTTGTGTTTAAATAAGATGCTTTTTGGCATTTATACGAGATAGAATTGTGTTTATAAGAGATAGTATGTGATACTTTTTGAATTTATACAAGTTAAAATTGCATTAAAACATGATAGTTTTTGCATTTATACAAGATAACTGCATTAAAAAGCAAAAAAGAATTGTGAGTAATACTGCCTACAATATCATTATATTATCCAGAAATTACACGCCTTTAGAAATGTACCAGTAAGTCAACAGCAGGTATGAGTCTTACTGGGTAGTCATCTTAAATGTATTCCATTCTATGTTTAAAGAGTAGGAATAATCTATGTAAAGTACATGTTTCTGCAGTTTCACATCAAGAATAACATGTGCTTGGAAAGGCATGTCATTTCTACTTTTCACAGAAACGTCAAAAACGACACATTTTTACCCAAGGACTACTCACTGACTGACAGGGTGCTCTACTTCATGGATACAAAAGACAGCACACGTGCTCCTTTAGATAAATTATTTTGCACAAAGAGAAGTGTGACGATTTTCTTCTGTTATTAAAGTCAAAGATAGTTTGTATGGGACAATTGTATTGCATAAATATTGCAATATATAAATAATAATCAATATTATAATCAGCAATGTTGTTCACAAATGTGATCTTGTATATACATAAACAATTCTTGTTTAAACCGTTTTTTTTTCTCTCTGGCGCTAATATGTTTTAAGAAATCTGTGCACTGACAAACTATATGCATGTTCACCAACCCACACATCCTTTGCTACAGATACAAAGTCAATCTATAACTACCACACTCACATGGGCCTACAAACGAAAAGAAGAAATGTTGCAAATAAGAGGTAGCTTTTGGCCCATGTAACCCATTTGGTAGTTTGTTAATACCTAAAACTATAAAGTCACACCCATTATGAAACATAACAGTGTGCCTGTCCTGCTGCACAGAAAACACAGATGAGGAGGGGGATATGTGTTCAGGGGTGTTCCCCCACTGCAATGCCACTAAAAACAATGGGATGCCCTGGTCAACAGGTTACCTGTCTCTGCAGGCGACGCATCTGGAGTGTTCAGGCCCTCTCTTTTCCTGTGCAGCCTGGTGATGAGAGAAATGAGTAAGAACAGGCAGGCCAGCTCCATGGAAACACTGAAACAGCAGTACAAATCAACATTGAAACACCAGGACTGATCCACACTGAAACATCAATACTAATCCACACCGGTAACACTGAAATGTCAGTGATATCAACACTGAAACACCAAAACCGATATGCACTGATAACACTGAAATGGCAGTAATTCCGACATGAAAATACCAATACGGAACACACAACTCAAGCATGTTTAAGTCAAACCCTTGCAAGAAACAGCAGGATCTCCAAACTATATAAAACTGGATGGATGGGTTGCACGACTGTTATCCATGGTTTGCATGGCTACACGGTTTGTCATCCATCCATCCTCCATCTTGTAACCACTTTATACAAATCCGAGCATTTTCTATCTGCTTTAAACAATGCTGGATTGTGGGGGAGCTGGAGTCAGTACTTCATCCTGGCAAGCACGGCAGGATACACCGCCCGAACGGGGCGCTGGTCCATTGCAGGACACACACAGACAAACCAGGGCCAATTTTTCTGGGAGCCAATTAACCCACCAGCGTGCTTTTGGACTGTGGAAGGAAAGTAGAATACCGGGAGGTACTCCACGCAAACATGGGGAGAACATACAAACTCTACACGGGAACTGAATCTGCAGAAATGTTAACCACTGCACCACAATTGACTGTGAATTGTCTTATGTTCTTGTGATGCAGTGTGAGCAGTGTGATGCTGCAGTTTGGTCCTGGTTCAACCCTGGTTGTTCAAAGAGCAATGTCAGTATACCCTTTCTCAATACCAGAATACTTTCTCAAACACTGTGTGTTACTAGTGGAAAAATAATGTCTGACATAATACTGATCTCCTGACCCAGCTACCCATGCTGAAAACACACACACACTTTAAAAACCACTGTGTTGCGTAAGAAAATTAAAGATTAGGAGATATGACACACAAAGTCTGAGTCTTAATGTAGATGCCCCTAATTTTTTCCATGCTCACAAAATGAGTCCTGCCAGGTTACTAGTTTATATAGTGCTTTTCATGTCAAAACATCAAATCTGAGAGGGACAGATATATTTAAACAACATAACAAAACCAGCTTGCCTAAGATTTGGTACATTTTTTTGCAAGTTCCTCTGAAAAATAATATTCTGTACACTTTCAGGAGGACTGGATACATTCACTATCCCTGTATAATTTTAAATACACTGTAAGCTAACAGCAGCCATGGGTGTTTATTTTACACAACCGTAAGGCAACACCGAGCCCTACTTAGGAATGATGAAGTATCCCATTTAATAGACTTAAGGATAATTTTACTTTCTTCAGTACAGCATTTGTTTTTCTTGCTTTGATGTTTAAAGACACTGAAACACTTCTATTGATACTTCTAAAACTAACAGATACCAAAATACTAATGTACACTTGGACAGCAATACTGATACCAGTACATTCCGACAAACAAAAGCACTCTACATTTCTACTAAAGCACATACTAACACACCTAACACATCAAAACACTTACTGAGACACACTGATGCAATAACAATAACGCTTCAACACTATATGGGTGGTGTGGTGGCTTTGTGGTTAAAGATCTGCCCCTGTGCTGGAAGGTTGCCGGTTTGTATCCCGCGGCCAACAGAGGAATCCTACACCGTTGGGCCCCTGAGCAAGGTCCTTAACCCCAACTGCTCCAGGGGCGCCGTATAAATGGCTGACCCTGTACTCTGACCCCAAGCTTCTCTCCCTGTCTGTGTGTCTCATGGAGAGCAAGTTGGGGTATGTGAAAAGACAAATTCCTAATACAAGAAATTGTATATAGCCAATAAAGTGATCTTATCTTACCTATACTGATAAGCACCACTACACTGAATCCCAGGCATATTAACAGACCAACACACTGAAACACTAACACAGGTTCGCTAACAACAGCCCGACATGCAGAGACACAGGTTTGCTAACAGCCTGACATGCAGAGACATAGGTTCATTAACAGCCGACGTGCTGAGAAACGGGTTTGCTAACAGCCCAGGATGCTAAAAGACGGATGCACAGGTACATTGACAGACTGCCAAGGACTGCTTAGGTGCCGAGACACTAAAACAGATTTAATATGCTCTAAAGAAACAGATATAATTAGGAGCACACGTGGACATAAAGACAGCCAGACAGACCTTTTGTTTTCCAGACATGCAACGAGGAAGGCGAGGAGGTAGAAGGAGAGGAAGATCCCCAAACAGAACAGCATCCCCATCACATACACCTCCGCTGGAGAAAGAGAGAGCAGCATGACTTGTAGTGTGTATTACAGGAGTAAGGGGAGTTCAAGCCCATATAGCCCATAAACTCAAGTATTTATCCACTGCAGGTCTTCAAGAAGTAAACCCTGTGGCTGACAAGACAAACCTGTACTACAGTTGTGGCTGCAATCAATCACTGGTGAGATATTAAATAGAAATTTGCCACGAGAAGTACAAAAAACACACTAAGATAATTTTTACTGTCACATCATTACTTTTAGTAGTTGTTATTTTCTACATCAAAATGCCAGGTAACTACTAAATTAAAATGCCCCAAATGTTTCGTGTTGCGGTTATGTCAGATGGATGAATTGCGCCACTCTGTCGTGACATGCAGTGAAGCTCACGTTTGATGGCAGGAGACACCAGCACATCCAGCGCTTTGCTGCGATTCCCGGCATCGATGAGCTCATCTGAAGGGGAGGAAGAGAGAAGAGGTAGAGGGAGAAAAGAAGAGAATGATCATTAACGTGACAATACACAAAAACACTATGACCTCCACCCAATTCAAGTCACTTCTGAGCTGCTCTGCCGAAGTTGTTGAAAAAGGACACCCTACTGCCGAAGCACTGTCATAGCCAGCAGTTAATAAAAAACAGATCTTTCACTGGAGGGATTTAAACAGCCTTGGTGTCTCACCTGGCTGCAGAGGGTAGAAGCGCAGAGGCCCGCCACAGGCCTCGTCCTCTGTCTTTACCACAACCACCACGTAGAAACTGTTGCTGGGAAAATCTTTTCTCTGGAAGAGAAACCACAGAGAAGCAGTGTCAGTCTGTCCAGAGAGTGCAGAGGCATATAGCATCTATATATTGTGCACACAAAAGAAAGGCAGTAATGCAGTACTTACAGAGGCTTTTTAATTAGGAAGTGATTCGGGTGTCAAAAAAGCAGGTTTTTATCCCAAAAGATATTTTATTCAAATAAGGAGTTTGAATAAGGGACAATGCACAGAGATAGTTTGTGTGCAGTGTACAGATGAAGGCCGTGTGTGTGCACAGCGTTCAGAGGAAGGCCGTGTGGGTTCAGTGTGTGCACAGCATTCAGAGGAAGTACCTGTACAGTAATGGCTGCTGTTGTGGTCATGGTCTGGTACATCCCAATAAAGGCCACATTGTTATCCAGATCATACACAGGACACTGGAGAAAGACAGGGCAGAAAGGAGGAGAGAGTAAAATGTCTAGATGGAAGGAATAGCCACTTCTCCTTCATAACATTTCTTATTTTGCATAAACATGGTGTGTGGGTGTCACCGAGCCTACTGTATCTCACGTATCTCCGTTTCTCATGTAACGGCAAACTCCTGCTACCAAGGTGGACATAATCAGAGGTGAGACTAACTGAGCTGCCTACAAACACAGCAGCGCAGGCCTGCACCCTTCAATGGAAAAGAAAATGCCAAACCCAACAAATTGGTGATCACGAGTAATTCCGTAAAAGAGTATCCTAATACAGCCCAGGCAGCCATGTTTCTGAGGAATCATCTGATGAGCACAAGAAATATTTGCTGTTCCATAAAGTTAATGGTTCACAGATTAGAAACTCCCAGCCAAATGTACACATGAGGACAGGCCATGTGTGGTTTGCTTCCAGAGCAGGTGACAAGCTTTGCATCTCTTTCCCTGGACTGAGCAGGTAATCAGTAGATTTCGGTAACCAGAAGGAAGCAGTGGAATGTAACACTAGAATCCTGTTAGACAAATAGTCCTGAACCTTGTGAGAATGCATGGCCACATGGTGGTTCCACTTCCAGCGAGTTTCGTTCCTGTTGCTCAGAAAAGGCCCAGTTTTATTCAGCTGGGGGTAACTAATATTTTGGCTAGCAATTGTATGAGCAATTGTAACTCATTAAACACAAAGCAAAAAGGTCCTTCTTGCATATAATGTCAGCAGGGAAATCGAGTATATACAGGTTTAAAGGGAAAAAGTAATAGGTTTATTCCATGCTGAAAACATTAACGTTGCGTTTTCTTTCTTCTCTTTTCAGCATGGAATAAAACTATTACTTGTTCCTTTGCAGCCTACGCATGCTGACGCAGCTACCCACCTGAACTACTGTACAGGTTTAAGGCCTGTATATACTCGTTTGCTCACTACCTCACAAACCAAATCTGAACAGCTTAGTATTAAAAAAAAAAAATAGAAATCAAACACTACATCTACATTAATTCTACAGCCAATGTGTTTGTCTTTTTGGAGACCATCCTGCACAAATGGGCCTTCTTAAGGCATGTCAATTGAAAAAAGGACATTTTCCAGAATCAGAAACTAAATCCTGAAAAATGATCTTGCAGAACCCCGGCCCAGAGAGCAGGCAGCACATCTTTAACACCACATAATCTTTGGCTGACGAATAGTCATATCTTCTGACAGCTTAAATGGTTTTATTTATTTTATATTATCAAGTGTTTTCCCCCCCAAAAAAACAATCCATGCAGCAAGCAGGCAGGTACCTTATGACTCTGGCACTGAACGGTGCTGTACAAATATACTCTCCTGTAATGCACCTAACTTTAGCAGAATGCGCTGCTGGCAAGCGCACCAGACTTCAGCAGAACGCGGAGAAGGTAAATGCGTGGGACATCAGCAGACCTCGTTTACAGGTGAATACATGTGACTTCAGCAGTGCCCACTGCAGATAAATGCATGTGTGCTGTAGTACAGTAGTACAGAAATAGATCATATGCCCACTGCAGAGACTGGACCCAGCAGTTATGCAATCGCAATCAAATTGGATTCTCTGAGCAGGGCAGAGGCTTTGATTGACAGAGGTGGGGCTACACTCACCAGGATGTCCTGGATAGAGATGACAGAGCAGGGGAAAGTCATCTCAGAGTTCACCTTCACTACCACTGAATCTACGCCCTCTGGGAACACGTACTTAAAATACTGAGAGAGAGAAAAAGAGATGTGAGGTGAGGAAACAAGAGGGGGAGCAACAGAAATATGCTGTTACAGTGCATCACATTATCTCTAGTCAGTTCACACACACACAAACACCCAAAACAACTGACACTCACACATTCAAACACACACCCACATCTACACACTTCACACTCTAAGATCCAGTTGTTGCTGTCAGTCTAGCAGCTTGGACTTTTCACTGATAGATCTGGTGACAATGATGTGAAAGCACATAAAGATAAGGAGACAGACACCGCATCAGTGTGAATCAGGGAGATGTGATGTCTTTGTTCATATTAATAGTGTACCCTCTGCTGATGTTTTTGATGGCCGTATTTTTTTTTTAATTTCACATTTATAATTTTTTTATTACAAATATTTTTTCCTCCTTTACTGTATATCTATATGTACAATATATATATATATAAATTGAAAGGCGCTATTTTATACAAAGAAAACTGATTGATTGATCAGCTGATTGCCTGTACGGTGAGATAATATTTCTAGAGAGTACGCATGTGTGTCAGTTAATAATACTGCATGCATTATTAACTGGAGGGCTGTTTTGAGTGGGTCCAGTATGTGAGAACTCGGTCTTACCTGCGGCTGGGACGGAGTAGCAGTGAAGCTGGACTTCTTGTTCGTCCTGCAGACAAAAAAGTTAGTCAGACACTGACACATCCACAAACTTAATAACTGAGAAATACCGCAAGACAGATCCTGATAGAAACTGAGATCTCCCTGCTCAGTCTTAGTGCTGGTTTCCTAATTACAGAAGGAGACTGACAACACATTGATACACTGAGATATTCTTAAACACACGAAGACAGAGTGATAACATGACGCACTGGGAGAAAACAGAAAACACAGCAAGAGAGAACAGAGATACACTGACATCTAGAAAGACACTGAGAGGAGCCCCACTGTGCTGAGAGACCCCCAGACCCACTCACTGCAGCGTGAAGCTTTCCACTCGGCTGATGCGGAGCTGGTACTGCACGCTCGCAGGGGACAGCGTGGACACGTCCACAAAGAAGAACTGTGTCTCCATCTCGGCGCGGGCGGGCGGCTGACACAAGGTGCGCCCCACGTGTGGGTAAGCGTACTTCCGCTGGTAACTGCAGGCAGGAATCATGAGCAGAAGAGATGGAGAGAGGTGAAAAACCAAGAGGAGCCTCATGTCAGTTGTACCCACTCTTAGCGATGTGCTGAATGACACCTTATAAACATCACGGCCGATGACTGGGATGTGGATCTATTAATCAGCCTATTCCCTTGGCAACAGGGGCAGATTACCAGTCTCACCAGCATGTAATTAAGCAGCACTTACCTTATTCCAGCAGGACACTTAAACCAGCTTCAACAGTACCTCCCTGTTCGGTCTTAGTGCTTGTTTCCAAGTCTTGGCATTTCTCTTATGCTACTTACTCTTCTGGCTTGACCTGGATCTGCCTGCTCACACTGAATATAGTATTCACATTACTGAGTTAACAATCTGGATTTTTGGAGATATCAGAACATAGGATAGGACTCTTTTCTAAACACTGTATTGGCAACAATTATACCGGTCTTGTACAGTGCTTCTCAATTTGCGGGGGCCGCGTCCCACTAAGGGGCCTCAATAAACTTCCAGGGGGGCCACAAGATGACTGAAAATAATTGAAAAAGACGAACAAAATGCTTAAATCGCTAAAAATCAAGCTACAGTAACTAACGGGCGAAGCAAAAAAAAACACGTAAAAGTTTATATCTGCAAGCATAATAAAACTTTTTAATACTTTTTTTAATTCGCCCACTAAAATAACTTTCAGCCGATCTAGAGCAACCAATCTAGAGTCGATCAGACATTTACAGAGAAAACATAACAAGTACAAAGACAAGCCCAGGTCCTTTTTTGAGCAAAAAAGGCAAAAGAACTGACAATTAGCGCACAAGCAGAAATGAAGGTAACTACTGGTGTGGATAAGAAACTCCTAAAAAAATATCATACACTGTAGCCCAGAAAATAGCTCAGCAGAAAAAAACTCATACTCTTGGGGAAACCTTGATTTTGCTTTGTGCATCTGAAATTGTGAGGGAATTATTTGCAGAGAAGTCCAAGCAATTAGCCAAAACACCGCTATCAAATGACACCACCAAACATCACATCTCATCTATGTTGGAAGATACAAAAGTACAGCGCACCACGCGGCTTTGCGACAATGACTTCGCTATCTCTCCACGCACTGACCACATTATTCACAAGCACCAGCAGCAGTCCTCACACTGAGTGAGCAGCTTCTGTAATTAAGTTGTCAAAAATGTCTGCAGTGACAAATTCTGTAGTTTAAGCATTATTTTATTTTTTTTTCCCATTCTTCAGAAATACTTACTCATTTTGTTTCCTTTAAAAAGTAATAGCTAAGCCGAGTGAGCAGTGAGCAGCTTTTGTTGTTAAGTTATGAAAAACGTCTGCAGTGACAAATTCGTATTTTGGAAATTACTTATTATTTATGCATTTTATGTTATGATTAAGCAATTTAGGCACTAGCTAAAATAACTTTTATTTAATAAACACACAGGCTGTTTTTGAAATGCCTATTAATTTTGTGTCATGTTGGGAAAAAAAACATAGGCAGTGTAATAGCACTAGCAACAAATACATTTTTGTTAATAAACATACGTTTGAAAACAAGTGCTTTAGTCATCAGTGCAGCAAAAGTACAAGAGGAAAAATATCATGGCCTTTCGAATAATCACTCGGACACTGAGAGGCCTTGGAGGAATGAAGGCTGAGAACCACTGTTCTACACTACTTGCTTGGAACAGAAGCCTGGAGTAAGTTGCACCGGTCTTTCAGACTGATCACAATAAGGATACCTCTCCGGCCTTAACCTAATCATTGGATTTTTGATGAGTCAGTAAAACCCGATTGCAGGAGAAACTCTGCTGACTAGCTGTTGAGAGTCCAAACCTTGGTGTCAGGGGAGGGCTGAGATTGAACACCCACAGCCACTCCTATGAAATGTCAGCCTCATGCTTGCAGTGAGGTGTGGGAGGGATGCGCCCGATAGCTCTCCTGTCAGACCCTGCAGAGCTTCCTCTCTCAGTCAGTTCACATAACCCCTCACCCATAACTACCCACATTCACGCAGACGGAGACCAGACAGAGACCAATACCGAGATCTGTCACTGTCAGTCTGCCAGCCTAGACTTTGCACCTCGACAGGTGTAGCTACAATGATGTGGAAGCAAACAGAGATAAGAAGCCACGTAGTGCATATCAGGGAGGTGTCCTTATCTGTCCATATTAAAAATGCACCCTCTGCTAATGTGTTTACATCTTACCTCAAAAAGTATGTTTTCTTTTCTTAAATTTCACATTTTTATCTGTTGTTTTTTTTTGCAAATGAGTACCATGTCTGGAAGCTGCTGCTAAGGAGTAGAGTCTTTAAATGAGAAACTTAACATTGTGTGGATACAAAATAAGAAATGAAGGGTGAGTCCGGTTAAATATAATTACATCAGTGGTTGTCTGATCTCGCAATTTCCCCAATTTGCTGAGCCTGTAGCAGTTGCTTGAACTGATTTAGGATCCTTGGGGCAGAGCAGTGGCTCTGTGGCCAAGGATCTGCGCCTGTGGCTGGAAAGTTTGACGGTTTAAATTGTACTCCGTTGGCCTCCTGACCCTTAACCCCAACTGCTCCAGGGCCGCTGTACCATGGCTGACCCTGCGCACTGACCCCCAGCTTCTCTCTCCCTGTCTGTGTGTCTCATGGAGAGCAAACTGGGGTATGCAAAAAGACAAATCCCTAATGCAAGAAACTGTATTGGGCTCATAACGTCACCGCCCTTCCCTGTGAATAACAGGGACCGCAGCCGCCAGGGCTGATGGGAGATCTCCCTTTAGCTCAAGTGGCTGGGTCCCTGTTGAGTGACGCCGGAGGCCCGGGTTTGAGTCCCCAGCGGTGGGCAGTGGCAGTGCCCACGTGAACCCCGGAGCGCTACAATATATACACAATATGTACACTACACAATAAATAACGTATAAGCTGATAAACATATCCTGCTGTATATATCAATATTAATATAAACTAAACTTATCTTAATTTCTGTGGACAAGCACAAGTTGCCAAAAAAAACAAACTAAAGACAGGACTAACGGAAAAGAAGCCTTGTCCTTAAAAAATGATGTTATGAAGTCCTTCAATACTTTAGTTTTGGAACTTTTCTGTTTTATATTACGTCACACGCACTTCATCTCATAATGGACAGAAACTACTACCCAACTGCGCAGAATTCCAGTAAACCGTGGAAATGGAGATCAAAGTCAGTTCTGGAAAAGGAGGGAAGGTCTGATGTTACATTAACGAACGACAAGAGTTTATCGTTCCAAAATACCGCTTTATAGCAAAACACATTCCTGGATGGGAATCAAAGCACACATACACAGCGACCCGCCCTTGACCACAACAACAGCGCGCGCACACAGCACCATTACAAAGTCTTTGCATTCTCAAACAACGCAACCACAAGATACTTACAGGCCACGAAGAATGAGAGGCACCTGGAAGGAGACGACAGCCTGTTTCTGACGGACGACAAACGAGATGGGATTTTCTGCCCCATCTGAAAACACAATCACTGACACTCGTACCCCTTCGGTCTGAGAAAGAGAAAGATCTAGGGTCAAAACACTCCTTCTGCTAAGAGGGAACCACAAAGAAGGGGAGAGGGAAGGAGACTCTCCCTTCAAAAAAAAATTAAATTATTAGCACTAGACAGCGATGGCCTGTAGTCAGGTCTCCATCCACCCAAGAGAGAGGAAGAAACACAGCTAAGAAGACCGAGAGGAAGGACATTACACAATATAGCACTATACGGAATTAACTTCTTCAGGGGGGCAAGTGTGAATTTAACACATCTGAGAAACAGGAAGAAAAATCTGCATTACTGAAAATCTGCTGTTTATGTGCTTCTCAATGACACCCTGCCCGCCTGAACATGATGAGCATGAGGAGAGACACAGAATGACCATAATACTGGTCCTGCAGTGTCTCAAGACAGGGGGTGCTGAGCGCTCTGTGATGTAGCACTCCATAGTCATGTGATCCCACTATGAGTTCACTGTGTTTACTAAGTTTAGGTACTTAAATCTACAAAAAAGGCAAAATAGCCTCTTCTTGTAGCCTCCTAGAGCTCCAGTCTTCACACCTGACTGGATCAATCAGCAGCTCTCCGATCCTGGGACATGAACACTCCTGACTGCTGGTGTACATGAGTGCTTTCTAATTCTAGGCATTAATGTTGCTCCACATGACTGCGCTCGGTCATTGGGCCTTTGAATGTTTCTGCAGTGTGGAGGCTTCTGACAGCAGTGTTGAACAGCAAGCCACACCTGGTGTCAAGGAACTTTCCTGAGCTCCACGCAGTGCCCCATAGTTGTGCCACGACAGCCACCAGTTGCCCTACAGTATGTCTGCCCTCACACCAGGGCTGACGAAGAGGCCGATGATCCGTTTTGTATGCGCTATGAAGAGGTCAGGATTCAGACCCTTCACTCCAACTGCCAATCCACCTAGTCGACTCCATCTCTCTGATTCCAGCTTTCTGAACTGCTTACTCACATACCATAACCATTTCTACTGATGAACACCTTAATGGTGTGTGAAGGCCTGTGTTCAAGGACAAAAGGGCAAAATCCTACCCAGGATTCGAACCCACAACCTCCATGTTAGCAGCCCAGAGGTCTGGCACTGTAGTGCAGTATTTTACAGCAGTCCTCCACACTGCTGAGACAAAAACTACAAACCACTACAACACAACAGTAGGACTGTGGCCCCACATACACACTCCACACAAAGCTCACACGGACAGGGATTCGTGTCAATTGAGCAACGCACAAAACACTCGAGTTCCAGTGACGCACTGATCTTTCTTCCTCTTATGGGCATGGATGAGAGCAGTACAGAAATACTAATCTCGCACACAAATGCATCACCCCTCAGAGTAGGGAGCCCAAACCTCCAAGGTAGCAACATGTTTTACCTGATTCTTACAGTTCTAAACAACATTCAAATAAATCTGTTTTTTTTTTTTACAGCTCCTCCCAGGTACTGACTCTCAACCTGGTAAAAAGTGCAAAAATCTAAAACCAAATCGAAACGAGTGACCAACCAGAGGAAGGACTTGCAACGATTAGTATTTCTGGGAAACTCATCCTCCAGGCACACAAAGGGGACACAAAGTCCACAGCCCCTGGAGTGGGAACATGCCAGAGTGGGTTTGACGCTCCTGGTACTGTTTTCTTGAAATGCCTTGAATTACGAGTCAAATGTCAGCAGCTATATCACCCTGCAACTCACAACTGGCAACCCACTGAAGCTAAACGGGTGTGAGCCTGGTCAGTATCTGGATGTGAGACCTCCTGGGAAAAACTAAGGTTGCTGCTGGAAGAGGTGTTAGTGGGGCCAGCAGGGGACGCTCACCCTGCGGTCCATGTGGGTCCTAATGCCCCAGAACAGTGATGGGGACACTATACTGTAAAACAGGCGCCGTCCTTCAGATGAGACGTGAAACCA